GTGTCTTGTCCTCCTAGCTTTTTCTATGACAGCATGAAATGTGTTCTAATAACTGAGCGTAATACCAAGTGTTGTCTGTTTGTGTACTAACCTAGTACTCAGATTTTAAGGCTTCTGACTGAGGTCCTTTAATTTGATTCAGACATTTTGCCTGGAAGTCTTAAGATAATTGCTGGAGCACAATAGTCCTGGCCAGTTCGATAAATCAGCACTAACAATGATCCTCTATAGGACTTGAGCAGTCCTGTGATTAGAAGTAGTGGAGTTTAATTACACTTGTTGTTTGCTCAGTAGCCCACCTTTTAAGCATGGCTCATAAATTTGAGGGTTTTGATTGAAGGTAACTGGATACTTTGAGTTCAAGATAGCTAGAGATGTTGCCAGTTGTCTTCAATTAAATCTTTCAGGACTATCATAAAAATCTACAACTGTACATACTCCATTCACTTGTGTTTTGCTGTAAAACAAACATTCTGAGAAAGATGAAATCCTTAAAGGGCCCAATATGAAAGGGACGTTCATGCTGATTTGGAGAACTCTGAGCCAGTCTGTATTCTTCAGACCTGTTGTTAATCTGGATTATTACTGCACCAGCTCTAACTAGTTGTGTAAAGGAGCAGTTAGTTGTTCCTCCCATTGTGTGCTCTGTGTCCTGGTCTTCCCAAATGTTGTCTTTATCTACCTGGTCTCTGTGTTGTTGCCTGCTTTTCTAAAGGAGCCAATGGCGGTGACGGTTGTTGGGGGTGTTTGGTTGTCCGTGTCACATAAAAGGCTTGTCTGTCCTTGTGTCCCCTGTCCTCCCTGAGGGCAACGCTTTACTCTTGGGTTTGCGTGGTGCATGTTTCACTTTTTGTGTATTCCATGAAATGAGACCAAGTTAATCTCTTCAGGTCTGTCACGCGAGATACTGTGGCTTGCTGCTAACTACGAGGGTCTCTCTCTGTGAGTCGAGACCTCCCCAGGTTCCCTTTGTCTGTTGAACTCTCTCTTGCTCCATTTGTGTAAAATGACTTGCTTTCTTTTGGTGGATCTGCACAGGCTACAATCACTGAGTTTGTGTGTTGTCTCCTTTCTGCTGCTTCAGTTTGTTGCGGATTTGTGGATATTAACACCTCAGACATTACACTCCTCAGCCTTTGGAGTACATATTGACTAAATCTTCTGTTTTTCTTGTCATTGCTCCTATTTGCGTGTTTCTGTCACGTCTTTGCCAGACCTGGGCTCACCAAAGGGCATCCGCTTCTCCGGAGTGACCGACACATCGGCCACTGTTCACTGGCTGACTCCAAGAGCTCGGGTGGACAACTACCAGGTCACCTACATGCCTGCCCATGGAGGTCAGTACCTCTGCCACATTATCCATAGCTTCACACTTAATTGTTATTGATAATTTATTTTTTGAAGAGGTATTGAGATCTTAAAAATCAATTTTAAAAATAATATTGTTACAGTTTGATAACAGCTTAGTTTTCTAAATCATCAATGACTTTCTTGTCAGAGTTGAACCCACACTTACACAAGTGGCTTGATGCTGCCCCCTGCTGACCACTTGATATAAAATGAAACAAATTATGTATTTTGATATATAAAATGCACACACATATATATATATATATATATATATATATTTGTTGTCGTTAGTCATGAAGGAAAAATGTGTCTGTTCATTTTACAAAGTCATAATTTCAGCATGTTATTCATACATTTATAAATGTCAGAGTTTCAAACTAATTATTTAATTCACCAACTTTGACTTGCAAACTAAATATTTAGCTTTCAAATTAAGTATTCACTTTTCAAAGTAAATATTAAGTTCACAAATAAATATTTAATTTGGAGCTAAATATTGAGTTTGTAACTTAACCTAAAACATTTACCTGGAACTAAATAATTTGCCACCTAAGTAAATACTAATTGATTTTTTGTGTGGAACTCTAACATTTATAAATGTAGAAATAGCATGGCAAAAATATGCCTTTGAAAAATGAACACAAACATTTTTTTTTCTTTTTGTAAATAAACCAAATTATTGCTGTTAATTTTCTACTGTGGATTTTACTAATGGCACCCCATAATATTCATGATAAAAAAAAAACTATTTAGACACAACATCTGCTTCAGTTTAGTAGGGCAGGATATAATAATAATAATAATAATAATAATAATAATAATAATAATAATAATAATAATAATAATAATAATAATAATAATAATAGTTACTATTATCATTAGTTATTACAGTTTCAAATGTGGGACTCAGATGATGGACTTAATATTCTGCATGAAGTGGAAGTGAAATATAAACATCTAAAAATAGAACACAAATAAAAACAAATGAAAAAAAATAAAATAAAAATAAACCATAAATCTATATCCATGTCAGTTTATTGGTCACTTTAATAGAGAAATCCATCTTTTTTTGCTTGATTTTGATATATAAAATGCATTAGTAAATAAAGATTTATTTTAAATGGCTTGAACTCCCAGGTGTTGCGAAGACGCTGACGGTGGACGGGTCGCAGTCGCTCACCGTGCTGCCGAACCTGACGCCCGGGGTCACCTATGAGGTCACCATCGTTGCCGTGAAGGAGCAAAGGGAGAGTGAGCCTGGCTCTGACAGCGTCACCACAGGTTAGCTACATGGAGCTTCACATCAAATTCAGTGGTAACACAGAACTTCACTGTGTTTCGTTACACTGTGTGTTGAAAGTAATTGCTCATGTTCTTGCCAGTCTAAAGGGACAGAATGAAACACTTTACAGCTCAAATTTGTGACAGTGTGGATAAAAACCTCCTGGATTTTAGTTGGATCAGGTTCAGTGTTATTTTATGCTCACAGTGTGTGTGGGTGGGTGTGTGTGTGTGTTACAGCTCTGGATAAGCCCCGTGGACTGACTGCAGTCAACATCACAGACACTGAGGCCCTGCTGCTGTGGCAACCGGCCATCGCAACTGTAGATGGTTATGTCATCACATACAGCGCAGATTCTGGTATGTACACATCCAAAACCTAACCTCTAATCCTGACTGATGGTGAGACATTCTGTCGTATTAGTGTGTGGCCTTGATTTATCCACCCACGTTTTGAAAAATGGCACCGTTTTGCCAGGGGGGTCAGATCCAGGCCTGCATCCTAATCTCTGAGTCATTTTCTGATCAGTTTCGCCTGTGAAACAGTTCACCACGGTGGAAAATCTAAGTTACAGTAAGTTGGTATTTTGATCCCTGTTCTGACTGGGTGATCTTGGGCAGACCTATGCTGCGTTAGAAGCAACCTCATCCCTGAGTTGGTTTAACATGCTTTACTTTGACTATGGCTTTGAGAAAATAACTTTTAACAGCATCTATTCCTGTAGAAGTACCAGCTGAAGTCTTTTCATTCTTATTTTACACACTGCTGCCCCTTTAAAATTGCAATATGTAACTTTTATGAGGAATGTTTTTCCACCATCATGTGATATGCTGCTGTCCGCAGCGATCACGTAATGCTTGACATATTTTCACTGAATATCTGTGTAAAAGCGCACTATCACAAAGTAGTGACAGATTCAACACGTATGTAAAAAAAATTCACCTACATCCATGTCCCTGTGCTTGATGAAAGCCTGAATCTCTGTGTGTCTCTCAGTGACTCCAGTGATGGAGCGTGTGTCTGGAAACGTGGTGGAGTTTGAGATGAGCTCGCTGAAGCCAGCTACGCTCTACACTGTGAAGGTCTACGCGGTGAGGGACTTGGCCAAGAGTGCAGCCACCACAACAGAGTTCACCACAGGTCAGTGAGACGTTCAGCCTCACATGAAGAGAACGACAATCTGCTTCCTGTTGACCCCGTTCATTCATAAAATTAATTTTCTGGTTTCTTGCCAAAGTATTCACACCCCTTGAACTTGTCTGATATTGTCATGTTCCTAAAATAGTGGCCTAAGTCATTTAAGCCACTATGTTAGGAAGGTGACAATATATTTTCTGATTTCATACCCATAAACTTTAAAATGTGTGGTATCAAAAATCAGTATTTGATACGATTTACCAACACAAAGTAACTGAGTAAAGAAACTGATGCATAATTTTCAAATCCAGTCCAGCCAGTTGCTTTTAGAAGTTCCATGTGCTGGATTTCATCAGGAAATAAGTCTTAATTTTTTTTTTTTATTTCTCTCTTTAAATATACATCAATATTTTTGCTCCTGTTGCTCTCTGAAGAAATGTAATGCTCCTGACAATCACAATCAGAGAAAGAAGGAGGGGCTTAGTGCTGTCAATCAAACTCATGTACTCGCTGCTCAATGTGAACATGGTATGAAAAGCGAAACAAGTTACAGTTACTGATTATCCACTGTCATCGGTGGCCATGCTAACTAGCCTTTGCATTCACAACAGGCTAAAATAGCTGCAACTTTTCAGCTACCAACTTGGTATGGAGGGGAGGGATAGCAGCACCCTACATAGAGTGATTGACAGCACTAAGATCCACCGCCTGGCTCTGATTGGTTGGTCTATTTCTGTTGAACGTTGTAGGTCCACTGAGAGGAGGCAGATTAACTCGATTGTCCCAGATTGTCTCATCCTATTCTGTTAAAACAAATGTGTAAAAAACATTTTAGGAGTCACACACTGAAGCTTTTATTTACTTGAAACTTCATCTATAAATAGTATGTAGCTGTAACATATTGACACTGAGCTGATGGTAGAGTCTGCAGCTTCCTAACACCAACAGGCCGGCCTGACTTCCTGCTTTGCCTCCAGATGTAGACGCTCCTCAGGACCTGGCAGCCACCAACATCCAGACGGAGAGCGCCATGCTCACCTGGAAGCCTCCCCGGGCCGACATCAGCGGCTACCTCCTCCACTTTGAGTCTGCTGTCGGAACCATCCACGTGAGCTCACAGCAGAACTCCACACAAATTGGCATGTTCAGGTGATGTGAGGGGAATCAAGTGTACGAGCGTGTCTCTCTTCCCCCAGGAGGTGGTCCTGAGCCCCACCGCTGTGTCGTACAACATGGCCGACCTCAGCGCATCGACAGAATATTCAGTGAAGTTGGAAGCTCTCGCTGGTCCCAAGAGGAGCCAAGTCATCTCTACCGTCTTCACCAGCAGTGAGTGCAGCCCTCTGTGTGTCGAAGCAAGTACACACATATGTACATATAAAACTAAGAAACAAATTTTAAAATGTAAGAAACAGTAAAGTGTGCTAACACAACATCAATCATATGTCTGTACATTTAGCTTGTTAACTAAATATTTGATTTGGAGCAAAATATTTAGTTTGAGAACTAAATATTTAGCTAACTAAATATTGAGACTATTAATTAAATATTTAATTTGAAAGTTAAATATTTGGTTTCCAAACTAAATATTTAGTTTGAAAACTAAATACTTAGCTTGTGAATTTATTTGTGAATATTTAGTTTGGAACTCTGACATTTCTGAATAGCAAGGTGAAAACATGACACATTTGTTTCTCCATCACAAACTAAGTAATGCAAATTACTTCTGTTGATTTTTCACTATTTAACTAAATGACTCCATATCTAAGGAATGAATTTGTTGCGTGTTTAATGTCATGAAGCAGTCTTGCTGTGGACGGAGGTTTTTGTTACTAGACGACCTGCCTGATGTAGACTGGAACACAAAGACCTTAATTTAGTATGCGATGTGTATGTATGTAGCCGGCGTGCTGTACAGACACCCCAGAGACTGCTCACAGGCGCTGCTGAACGGCGACGCCTCGTCAGGCATGCACACCATCTACCTGGGTGGAGACGAGAACCAACCGCTGCAGGTCTACTGCGACATGAGCACCGACGGAGGCGGATGGATCGTGAGTTTATCATTATTCTGGATGCGTAATGTTCTCCAATAAAATAGTAATGTTCAAAGGTCTTGAGTCATATACATCACAACAAGTTTCTCTAATAACTTCAAGTAGTCTCTGAATATTTTTCTCCAGGGTTCTGAAACACTTTTTAATGTTTTTAGTTGGATCTTTGTTCGGGTTTTGTTCTTGAACAGTTGCTGAGAATATTTAGGATTATTTACATTTCTTATATGAAATGCAAATTGGCGTATCTAAAAATGTGAAAATAATTGAAGAACTAAAACATGAACAAATTGAGTTCTGTCATATCTGTGGAATTCAGACATTGTTAGCCATCATTATCAAAGAACATTATGAGGAAATATTGAAGGGCCAGAATAGTCACATAGTGAAAGAAAACAAGAAAATACAAATTTGTTGTCTTGGTCGTCACACATCCCTGATCTTGCAGAAAAATATCAACATCTTAGAGAGGTATGCTTATCGCTGCTGTTGCTTAGACACCACAGATATTAGAACAAGTATGTCTGAAAGATTTCTCAACCTTTATGGTTTGTTCTGCAGGTTTTCCTGCGACGTCAGAGTGGCAGGCTGGAGTTCTTTCGCAACTGGAAGAATTACACGGCTGGTTTTGGTGACATGAACGATGAGTTCTGGCTTGGTAAGTTCTTGCAAATCAATAGTAAATAATCACATTTCCTAGAGATGTGGGCTGAATCATGTGATCAGCTCTGTTCAAGAAGACAGATGTCAATGAGAAATAGAGTTCCTTACTGCTTATGTGTTGTCATGGCATAATAAAGTGTGTGTTTTACTGTCATATAATTACAATATTTTTTAGCTTTAGAGTAAAACAGTGTATTTTACTAGTGATGATGGACAGTGGAGGACAAAAGAACAGAGAGGCTGAGGAGAGGAGTGTGCTAGGACACATAGGTTGATTCTAAGAGGCAGGTTTACCTCAGGGCTCGGCTCAGACACTCAAAGTGTTAGCTGTGGTGATAGCCGCGTTCGCTGATGATGCTGTGTTATGTGATGTGAGGCGGTACGTTGCTGAAAAGAGCCTCTGGAAAGGAGACAAAATGAAAATAAAAAGTAAAATCAAGAAACTGTTGATGTGTCAGAGTAAGAAAAAGAAGTGGAACAGTAGCAGCATTTCCATTACAGATGTGTGCAAGTCTTTGTCAATGTTCTATTGATGTTCAAAAAAACACAGTTTCAAAGTTGCTGTGTTTTCATTAAATGAGAAATAAAATTAAGATCATATCCTGTCATATATTCATAAACCAGTCATGCTCTATCAGCCAATCAGAGAAGACGGTGGAGAAAACCCTTTATACCTGGGAGCGGCTATGTATGCTGCGTTGTGGGGAAATTGTAGTAACAGATTCAACATGTTGGAATGACACGCAACCTTTTATAAACTGTGTGATGCTTTTGGAGCGCTGGTGGAGGCAGCTGCAAATTGTCTGAAAAAAACAAACAAAAACAAAACATCATCGTCCTACTACTTCCTGTTCCTTCCTTCGTCTTTTCCACCAGTAGTAACATCCACCTGTTCATAATGTGACTAGTGTAATCCGCAATTCTATGGTTAATGGAAACGCAGCTAGTGAGACTATAAGAAGCTGAGGTACTAAAAGTGGGTGAGTTTAAGTACCTGGGTCAACCAATTATAGCGACATGCCGATTGTAAGATGGCAGGATGGAGGCAGAACAAGTGATTGAGGGCAAAGGGTAAACTGTGAGGGAGAATGATGTCAGTAGAAGCTGTTCTGATGAAAAGTTTGGAGACATAAACATTAACACCAAGACTGGAGGTGATGCTCAAGATGAGAGTCACTGAAATGAGTACATGAGAAATGACAGCTGACCAATTTGGAAACAGAGTTAAAGACGTTAAAACTGAGTCAGTTTGGGGAGATGGGATGTTGGTTGTGGTGAACATCTTGGACAAAAATGCTGAATGTGGTGCATCAGCAGACTGGGAAGACGACAGAGGAGGATTATGGTTGCAGGAACAGATGATGCTGAAGGTAGAGTGAGTTTAAAGGGAGGAGCTGAAAGAAGAAGGGACCCAGCATCATTAGTCTGGTTCCCATGGTGACTGACTCTCTTCCCGCCCTCAGGTCTGTCCAACCTGCATAAGATCACATCTGGAGGCCAGTACGAGCTGCGGGTCGACCTGAGAGACAAGGGAGAGATGGCCTTTGCTCAGTACGACAGGTTCTCTGTCTCAGAAGCTCGGACCCGCTACAAAGTCCATGTGGGAGGATACAGTGGCACTGCAGGTAGAGCTCCTGGCTTTCAACTGCATTTTCCATTTATTCTAATGTCTCTACATCACTTATAAAGTGCAGGCAGTTGGATTCTCCTGAAAAACAGACATGAATTTTTGGGCCAACCCCCATATAATCCCATTTATGAGTAATTTTTTGACAACTGAACACTGAAGCATTTTTAATAGCAAGTTAATCCACATTTGATGCTCCAGTTAACAGACTTATTGATGGCAGCAGGATTTAGCACTTTATCATGACATGGCAGGTGCACAGCTTCACCCCCCCACTTATCAGCATGTCCTGCAGCAGGTGCTTTTCAGTCCTTATTCTGCCACCAGGTGGCACAGTCGTTGTTCTTTTTATCTAGAAACTTTGCTTCCTGCTGTATTCATCGGAACACTGGGCCTTTTTTTTTTATGTTTTTTTTTTTTTTTTGTGCAATGCAATGGCTTATTCTGTAAAATTTCTGAACAAGTCTTTCAGCCTGCATTTAAGAGTTACTGTCAACAGCTGAGGTCATTCTGCTGTATCTGTTTGTAGTTTTTTTAAAACTGGAGTTTTCCTCAGTCAGTCTAGCTTGTAGTGAGGGATCAATAAAATGCTCTGGGCCAGTCGTTAGAGAGGGCTTTTAGGACCCAGGCTCTGGCCCCGAGGCCCACTTCTGTTTTATATCAGTTAATTATTTATTTTCTTATGATTAATTATAATGGTTCAAGGTCATGAGAGCCCAAACTTCGGTTAGGAAGAAACAGACAGAAAAGTCTCAAAGTCTGAGCAGAAATCCAGGCAGTAAAACCCTGTGTTGGGGGTCAGAAGTCAAAGACAAACTGTTGAAATGAGTCAACAAACAGCAGGGTGTTTGTTGTGAATGAGAGGTTGTCCACTGAATCAGAGACAAACTCAGGCTACAAAGGAATGCAGTCTGACAGGTTAAACAAAGCAGCAGCTTTCTACAAAAGATTGAAGACACCCCCATTAATTGAGGCACCAGCAGTCTGCTTATTATGTTAATAAGCACATAATAAGCAGTCTGCTTATTATGTTCTCTAATGCTTCTAAAAACACCTGAGGTCCATTCACTTTGTTTGATTCTTTGTTTTAAACTTTATCACCACTTTTAACCGCATCTCTGTCACCATGCTATGTTCTGTCCAAACTGTCTGCCCACCAGGCTTCAGTGACTTTATGTTGTATGTATTTGCCACGAATTAAATTGAAATGATTTTTTTTGTACCTCAAGAGCACATTTGTTGTGAAATGGTGCAATAGATTTAAACTACATAATTTGGACGGTATAATTTGATGGAATTAAATCATTTCTCCTAAAACATTTCTGTTAACATTACACTGACAGTAGTACAGTGCTTACAGCCATACACAGTACGCACTTAACAGATAAGATTACTGATCAACAATGCGGAGACCTTTGTCTCTTGTTATTTTGGCTTCAATACTGAAGGAATAATGGTTAAGTTCTCTGAACAGCTGATGAAATGTCATCTATGAGCAGCTCAGATACTTTCATGTTGTTGTATGTTCCTTATAAAAACTGTATTTCCTAGGTGACTCCATGACCTACCACCACGGCCGTCCATTCTCCACCTACGACCACGACAACGACATTGCCGTGACCAACTGTGCTCTGTCCTATAAGGGGGCCTTTTGGTACAAAAACTGTCACCGGGTCAACCTGATGGGTCGCTACGGAGACAACAGCCACAGCAAGGTACAGCAGGGTTCAGTCCAACACAGACAGATTGAGTTTGTATGTTTTTTCAGTTGAACTCATGTAAAGAAAGGTCAAATAAAGTCAAACATAAAATGAAAAACTTTCTTTCAAAATGTTCAGAAAGTGAAAGGCTTAGAGTCTTCAAGAAACTCTAGCTAACTTCTCTTTAAGGTCACCTCCTCTCTAAACACCTTACATGTCAGTGTGCATGTATTGTACTTACTAACTGATAGCGGAGGCTGCCAAAGCTCTAAAAGTTATCCTAGCAATATGTCTCCTATTACTCTACAGGTGTATCTGTAAAAGGAACAAAGCCATTTTGCTCTCTCTCACTTCCTGCTCATTTCTCTGCCCTACCCTTCTTTCCTCAGGGTGTGAACTGGTTCCACTGGAAAGGCCACGAACACTCCATCGAGTTCGCCGAGATGAAGATCCGTCCGTCCAACTTCAGAAATCTGGAGGGAAGGAGGAAACGGTCTTAAATGACCCGGAGAACACCGCCTCCACCACCACAACCATCATCATCAACAAAACACTACTACATCTGTGTGTACCCCTCCACCTGTCCAACACGTTCTCCACACTCAACAACCCTGCAGCAACCAAAGCTTTCAACAAGACCCCTCCAAACACAGCATACCCCATTTCCCACCCCACACAGGTCTGCCTGTTAAAGATGGTTGTTAAAGCAAAAAAATGCATTTTAATTTTCTATCACATAGCATCTACTCCCACACCAAAGACAGTAACTCCACCTCAGCAGTTTCTAACCCACTCAGTCATCCTGCTGCCTTAGCAAGGAGGTGCACCAACAACTCGGGCATTACGTTGTGCAGAGTCATCGACACAGGCTCTCATCACGTTCACACATCTGGAGTCTTACACAACAGAACTGTATGTTTGCATCACAGTTTGGGTGATTCATTCTGCTGCTTGTATAAAAATGTTCATGTCTGATTCACACATCTGAAAACAGATATTTGTCAGACCACACAGAGCTTCACCTGACTCGACTTCCGTTTGTCTTCATGTGACGTTAACTAAATCAGTTTCATTTCATTTCATTCCTCCCAGAGAGCCTGCAGCCAAAAAATAAAAAATAAATAAATCAAAACAAAAAACAATCATAAAAAAGGTCTCCTCCCATTTCCTCAAGAAAGGCAACAACGTTTCTGCTCCTGACCTGGCCCCCTGCAGGCGGCTCGCTGCAACTACAGCATTCTGCTTGAAAACAAGGTGAAGAACAGAGGAAGAAGTGTGTTTTTTTTCTATCATGAATCTGAGGCAGGACCTATCACTCAGTATATAACGGCAAGCGGTGATTACATTTTTTTTTGGTTGTATCTTTTTTGCAAAATGTGAATATAGTACTTATATGTGGGTCAAGAGAATGTTTTTGTGATGCTTGAAACGTAAACATTTTAAAAAGGCCAATTTTAATTACATTTCAGTGTTCATAGTAAAGTCTCCATGATTCTTTTGGATATATATATAAAAAAAAGGATTAGTGTTTGGACCGGCCAAAACTAGTAAACTAGTTAATCTTTGTACCCTTCCATTACCCCAAGCCCCTCCTGCTTTTGCAGGATACTAAACCACTGACCTTCTAAAGAATGCCTGTGTAAATTAAGTTTGTTTTGATTGTTTCGTCTGTTTAGAACTGGGTGAACTACAGGTGTGTCTCTGTAAACTGTTAAAGAATAAAACCGTCTGGTTGAAAGACAAATTTGATTTTTGATTCAAGTTCTCCTTTTTTCTTTTCTGCAATTTTTCCCACTCATCACAATCCCTCCCACAAATACAGCTTACTACCTTTACAGGAACAGGTTGATTAAGTGACAGCGCAGGTAACATGACCATTTTACTACTGAAACCAAGCAAAGCCACAAAATGGCATAAAATAGGAGAAATAGCCTCATATTTAGAAACTAAGAAACAATTTGAAAAATAAATCTTACGTTAATTAAATTAAATTATCATTCACAGATTTTTATTTTAAAATTCCCTTAAAAATTGTATATCATTTTTATAGAGAGGTATCATATTCTTCGCTTCTAACTTTAAAAACATTCTACAGAGATCTGATCTTTACTAGATGGCAAAATATCTGAAAATTAATCTTGTGTGTAAATCATCATATTCCATACTGTATTCTCAGCTAAAAAACTAAGATAAAGCTAAATGAGAAAGGAACACATGCACTTTAGAATTCAATAGCTAGAAGCATTTTTATTTCTGGCAAGAACATCTAGCAATCAGATCCATGTTGTGACGGATCTGATTATTAAGGGTTTTACACGTGAGAAGCAGAATTTCAAATCTGATCTCTCTTCTTAATCCAGCCGCTCTTGATCAACAGAAGGTTTTTAACTCTCCTCATAGTAAAGATCTACAGTACACCTTTATTTTCTTTTTCAGCTACTCAGTTGCAGACTTGCTGCTTTATTTACGAAGCTGACCCAGTTTGAGCTTCAGCTGTTTTACACATGATCTCACATTTCACATTTAACGCCACGATACTCTAGCTTACAGCAGAATTCAGGGCACCTTTCAGTAACAGAAAGGTGCCAAAACTGCAGGTGATTGTTCAGGCATGTATTTGTTTCTGCAAACATGGGCCCGTGGATTATGAGCCAACACATTTTCATCTTATATGTTTAAAGGAGATAAAGGTATAAGTGGTGTGTCCTTTTCAGACCAGACGATTTCTCCTGGAAATACTTCCAAACAAGTCTTTCTGATCATTGACTCTCTACATGTCCTGTGTATGTGTTTTAATATGCAACATGCTGCAGAGTCTGATCTTATTATTGGATGATCTGACCGTGGGGTGAATTTACTGGAGCTGTTTTCATAAATCTTCTTTCTTTCTCTGGACGAATGAGCTTCAGATATTATAAGCATTCTCAGACAGATGAAGAGCAGCAGCTGCTTCACTTATGTCATTACTGATATTTTTCTATCTTGACATTGTGTGTTATGTACTGCTCTGTGTTTTAGAGCAGCAAAATGTCCAAATATCCAGGATTTATTTAGTAAAAAATGCAGTTTTTGAGTATGAATTATTAACGTGACTGCAATGTAGAACCACAAGATTGTAATATAACCTCAAAAAATTTAGCAGCTTCGGAAGGGAGGCTCAGAAAGAAAATGAAGAAAGAAAGAGGAATCAGGGTATTTTATGACATGAAACACCTTGATATCATGTGGGTTATTTCTGATATTTTCTTCCACATTTATTAATAAATAAATAAATATTCTTTTTTAGAGGTGTGTATGTAGCAGTTGCAAAATGGATCAATGTAATTGTAGACTTTTCCGAGATGGGGGGTCCGGACCCCTCAACCCCCCGGGATTTCCGCCTATGGTGCAGTACTCTACTGACTATGATGTAATCTGAAATGAAAGTGTTTCTATTGTTGGAAGTATAGCCTGTCGGCATGACTTCACCCAGCAGTAGCAGCAGCTGGAACTGTTTCCTGAGCTCAAAGGTCCTCCCTCTGCTTCACTCGGATATTGCGTCGCCTACAGAGGCTTTCCTGCTTCTCCGTGTCGGACCGGACCGGACTGGACAGGACCACGAGAAAAAGTTCGTGGGCGTGTCCGGTCTCGCGGCGGGTTTCTGGGAACCATGAAAGCCTCGCGCCCGGAGGCGATGCGGATGTGGGTGAAGTTCCTCTGTGCCTCAGGTCTCCTGCTGCTCTCCGCTCTCTACCTCCTCGGTTCAGTCAGAGACACCGCCAAGAAGAAGCCACTTCCTGCGGAGGAGTACCGCCTCATCTCCCCGCTCACCTACCGCTACCTCCTGAACCAGCCGCAGGTGTGCCAGGGCAGAAGTCCCTTTCTGGTCTTCCTGGTTCCGGTCGCTCCTCAGGAGGCGGAAGCCAGGCAGGCCGTGAGGAGGACATGGGGGGCTCCAGGTAGGGACTCTCTCACCCTTTTCTTCTCGGGGCTGCCAAAAGGGGCGCTGCTGTCACCCCTTCAGAGGGTCCTGGAGAAGGAAAGTCAGCAGCATGGAGACATCATCCAGATGGACTTCTTGGATAGTTACCAGAACCTGACGATAAAGACGATGATGATGATGAAGTGGCTGGCGGACCACTGCCCCAACTCCTTCTATGCCATGAAGGTGGACTCTGACATTTTCGTCAATGTGTTTTACCTCATCCAACGCCTCAGGAGCTCCCCCAGGGTGGGCTTCATCACCGGGTCGGTGATCTGGGATGGCAGCCCAAGGAGGGACCCCAGCAGCAAGTGGTATTTATCTAAGGAGCTGTACCTCGAAGACGACTTCCCGCCTTACGTGTCTGGAGCTGGCTACGTGTTTTCCACAGACCTGGCTGCCAAGATCTCCTGGGCCTCCAGGTTTGTGCGGGTCATTCCTCTGGAGGACGTCTACGTGGGCTTGTGTCTGCGCGTGCTGGGGGTCCGGCCAGTGTACTCCTACAGTCTGCCACGCTTCAGAAATCTTTTTGAGGTGCGAAAGCTGGAGTATGACAGGTGCACCTTTGCCGAACTCATCATTGTGAACAAGTTTAAGCCAGCAGAGCTGCTGCGAATGTGGCAGGACTTTTCTGAAGGCCAGGCTGACTGCTGACCGCCTGCACTGGAACCAACTAATAGCTGGCTGGAAAGGATAAAAGCCATAAAAAATTCTGATATTCATTTAAATGTGTTGACAGGGGTATTTAATGTGTTTGAAATAGAATAAGGAATGATGAGGTGAACAAAAGCCATTTAAAATGAATCCACTCCCAAGTTCTGGGGCTTGAATTGCAACTTTTCTCAGTGTGACTCATTGTGTGACCGGTAAGTCAGCGTGCCTTCCTCCCGTTGCAGGTGTGTTTATTTTACAGCAAAGACTGGAACAAAGATTCCTTATGGAGATGACCTACTACCTGTTGCATTACCTCCTGATGAGGTGTGTGCCTTTTGTCTGGGTATGATCCTGTGTTTAAGTGCCTGAGTGACGGATTGCAGTCGGGTTCTGGGCCTCATGGCAGAATATGTTCAAATAGTTTCCTTTATCATCCAATTGTTCTCTGAATTTATTTGTCTTTGGTGTTTTTGTTCTCTAGTTATGTGTTGTGACTGAATCCTTTCAGTGACTGTAACACAAACCAACAGATTAGGACTATTTACCTGAGCCATACAGACACATGTTTTCACAGCTGACTGAAGAACATAGGAAAATGACTTCATCACAGTGAAGCGTACTCTTTCTTGGTGGGTAGAAATAGACACACAGTTGCCAAACAAACAAAAAGTGAAAAGGATTAAAAAATAGCAGATGGAGTGTAAAGACCAACACTCATTTCACACAGAGCTGATCAATATGTAGAAACATAGTTATCATCACAGTGTGTACAGTACTGCAAAAACAAAACACTGCTCTGATGCAATACTTCGGAGAAGTGTGATGTGTTCTCTCTTTGAATGCACACACCACATCAGGCTCAAGGGGAAGAAATTGTGTGTGTGACGGTGAAGAAAGAAAAGTGACCTGAGAGTTAAGACAAGCTTAGACCTGCTGCTGGTGTAAAGTAGAGCTGCTCAGTTTAGAAACTTGCAGTCACTATCTCAGTGTTTGCTGCTTGGATGCAATATGTGATGACATATATTTTTGGTGGAATAAAATTCTCCTTTTCAATAATATATTAGGTCAGTTTGATGGTCTTTCATTGTGTTTCATTAACACACATGATGCTAAAGCTCAAGGAGAACAATAAGGACTTTGTGATGATGCAAAAACTAAGAAATGGGTGAAGAAAATATAGCTTAATAACAGGCATACTTATTATGGCAACAGAAATATCTCTGCTTCCTGCGATTTGAATCCTTTAGGAGCTGTCCCTCCCCAACCAGTTGCTGCCCTATGTTAGTAAGCAGTAAAATATATTTTTAAACAACAAAAACAAATGTGACTCTCTGAAAATATTAAAACAATTAGGCCATGATAAACATTTATATTTTTATATTTATATTTTGCCCCACAGATTTTGTCTTTCTTGAAGCAGAGCTGATAAACATTATTATTCTTGCATGAGGCCCAGCATATTAAAACAATCTGAGAAATTCTATCTGTCTGAATATTTCAACATACCTGCTGTAATATGAGGTTTGGTGCCTGCGTTTGCATTTACTGAATATTCAGATGCTGTACTCAGAGGTCTATAAAAACAACCAGCAGGTGGCGGTGTAATACAAATGATAAAATGGAGATTGCTGATTCATATCATTTGTTGACCTGCAAGTTATGCCTTAGATAGTTTAATGAAAAGAAAATCTGTATTGTTATTGTGTGTATGTGTGCTGTAAACCAAACTGCTTCATGACTTTATACCTCAGTATTTTCAGCAGCTCTCATTCAGTTTCTTAATGAAGGAACATCGTCATCTGTGATTGGCTGCTGTTCTGCTCTGACCAGGAGGTCTGCTGATAAGTGTTGTTTCCTAACTCACCAAATAAATGCCTCAGGAACATTTTAAAAACAGTTTTCTTCAAGTTTCTGCCTTGGCAGAGTAAAGTTGTGCCTGGTTGATAAATACAAGTGTAAATAAATGGAACTGTGCATAAGTCTCAGTGTTGGTTTTTATTAGCTTGCTTCAATGTCACATGTTCCTAGGAGTCGTCTTTCGTGTTCTTAGAGATGTTCTTAAAACATTATTTCATCCATTTTATAAAATGCAACTCTCTACAATCTCATTCAATGCTTCAATTTGATAGTTATAGGAAGTACACCTGCAGCATGAGGTGCAGGGTTCATTTCCACAAATAAAACTCGAAAGCTTCTGGAAGAGTTGAGTTTTCACTTTCCTCACTTCTAACACTTCGATGGAAAGCACCAGTAAGCATCAATCACTGCCATGGATTCTTAACTGGAACTTTTGCTCGACCATTCTAACACAGACGGATACTCTTATCGAAAATATTCCATTATAGTTCTGTTTAACTCCATCTATTGTCAATATCCAGCTGAAAGGTGTTATAAAACCTGTCAGAATGAAATGTGATCTATAAATTAGAGCAACATGTCAAAGTGATCTGAATTTGTCCTGCTCTGGCAGAAAGAAGCCATGACAACTCAGAACATGCAAAGCAATTTTTTTTTTTCTGATGTGATTTCAAAAACCATCTGACAGCACTGCAATGCTAGATTTTCACCACACGAGGGCGCTTCAGTATAATATTTTGAAACATACCACGTTTCTCTTGAAAGACACGTGTCTCTTGTTTGATTTTTTTTTAAACACCAGTTTGCATGTTGGACATTTATGGCAGATTTCAAAACATCTTCGTCCAACTCGGTCCCATCAGCTGTCAGGTTCATAATGATCTAGAGGTTAATGATAGCTGGAGCCGTTCCAAATGTCATTCAGTGAATGTGGAGATTTTCTGTGAAATCTCTTCTCCAGTAACTCTTCCAGCTTTTATTGACAGGCTTTATGTACCACAGGGGAAGCATTCTAAATGTATTATTTATCATTGTTGATACCACACTGATTTTCAGAAGAAGGAAAGACATGGTGAAGTTGGCAGAGGAGTAAACATCAGTTAGTATTTATTGTAAATGTACCTGGGAGGGAATCCTGAAATAACTGCTGTATCACATTGAATGTGTAAAAGGACTTTATGCAGGTTCATTATTGCTACATTTGTATCAAAGGAAGTGACATAGTTTCATATCTGGCCACCTATATGCTCACATAAAGCCTGGTAAATAAAAAAAAAAAGATCTACTTGTTCCATGAGTACCCTCTGCTATCGAGAAACAATTGCCTGCTGTTGAAGTTATTGATTTTACCCATTTGGTAATGTTTGGCCATGGTTTATGTTATGCACTACCTCAGTGAAGCTTACCAGAAACTGTGTTGAAACACAGATAGGAGTTGGGTCATGACAGCTCTGCCAGCAATAACATGTCTTAGACGTTCCTCTTGCTCTGACTAACTGCTCAATATGTGGTCAGCACAGAAATTCAACTGCAGAAATCAAACTTGATGGAAAAATTGCAAAGGAAGCCAATAGCCAGGCTAACTCATACACTGACATGGGTAGATGGTACTTTCTGTCTCCTACAGAAAGCTTTTTGTGGGTTGTTTGGTTGAGTTGGAGAATAATTAGTGCAGTTACCTGAAAAACATCCTGGAATTGTGTTGGCAATAGGATGTAAGTGGTGCACTTTCTTTTTCATCTGACTGTTTTTACAGAAATGTCCTGTTCCATGTTAAAACACTAGCAATAAAAATTGAGATGTGGAGAAAGGGAAAAGGTAAACAGCTTTAATAGCTGCTGATGATGATTACAGCGGTGTGACCGTTGAGTGGGCTCAGAAACAAACGCCTCGGGACTCATTATTCACCACAGTGACTGAGTGCTGGCAGACATGAACCTGAGCAGACCTCTAACATGCCAGGCAGCTCTGAATCCACCTGGCTGCAGGAGACAGGTACCTGCTCTGGAAATGTCCTTCCTCCTCAAAGTTGTTGTTGCTTGGTTCTGAAGAATCCAGCATATGTAAATATGATCCCTGCAAGTCATTAGCCAAATTGATCCATATTTTGTATTTATCACTGTTTACAGTGTCTGTTTGTGTGATGTTTTTGTGCCCTTTGCTCGACTGTAGTCATTTCCCTCGCTGACAGAGTGGGAGATTAACTCTCTAATGCTCCCACCTGTTATATCCTGATCAACACAGACAGCTGCCACAGCTTTCTGCTTCGTATGACTGATATATTCTGATCTAGACATGGGACTCACCTGTAACCTAGAAGCTGATCTCAGTGAACATCTCAGGAGATTACTCAGTTCCCGTACTGATTTCAACCCAACATTCACTGACGCATCTCACTGTGACTGTTTATCTGTCAGTGTGAGCTGCAACCACAGTTTGAAAGCAAAACGTTTTTCCGAGAAAACAGGAAAAACGAGGAAGCCATTTGTGCCATCTGAATGTAACTAACGTAACGTTAATGGAGAGCCTCAGTGAGAGCCGGTGAACTTGGGTTTAGCAAAACACCAGCCACTGTGCTCAAATCACAATAACAGACGTTCCATGAAAATAACGCCAAATTAAAAGAAGAAAGAATAAACTGCGCACTTTGTCTCAAAATGTAAAAAGGCAGATTTTTCTTCCGAAATGTGTAACGTTATAAAAACTGATTAGAAATCAGCTTTTAACATGCTACTTGAGTAAAAATGTTACTTGAGTACATTTTAATTGTAAAAACTAAATGCAGTAACTTTAAACGAAACTCTTAACTTGATTAGCATCTCACCGTTCAAAACAACGTCTGTTCCTCCATTATGGAGCCCAAACATGCTAGCTAGCTTGTTGTGGTGGGGAGGGGGAGCTTGAGCTGAGGCCAAAAAACTACATTAAATAAAAGAGTAGCTTGTATTCTACGGCCACTATATATCGGTATTACGTTAGTCACATTAAATTGTGACAGAGACTACTTTTTCAATCATTGCGATGTATTTAGTCAAATCAAATACTTCGAATCCTTCACACTATAACTTTAAAGTTGCCATGTTTGGTCATTTGCAGTAAATTAAGACAATGTTTAACTGCTACAGACACTTGAATTGTTTAACTAAGAACAATTAAAACATGTCTTACCTTTAAGCAAACGGTAGTCCATGAAGTGCCAAGCAGACTGGATGTTCAAATGCCTTGGGGCGGGAAAAATAAGGCCTCCCAATGAGTAAAATTTATCAATTTTCTGCACTTTTGACTTTACTAATGAAAATAAATAAATTCTACTTATTGTTTTTCTGCTGATTTTATTGAAATAAAAACCGAGTAGAATGCAATTAAAATATATTCAAAATTTGGTTAATTCAGCTCAGTGAGATTCAAAACTGCACAAGTCTTTTTTATTATGTATAGTTTGCTCTTATTTATTTAGCAAATATTACTAAACCCTGATCACACTTTTTTCAGTGCATGGTGCTCTGGGAAAAGACGAGAATATGGGTTTAACATGAGTTGAAGAGGAGAGTTGGGCAGATCGATCCAGAATATCAATACTGATAACAAATCGGTATCGGTATCAAAATGACGCTAGGATGGTAATATCAATACTTTAGTTTCAGATTCTATCTTAATATTGAATTCATTTTATTTAGTTTCTAAACTGTAACTCAAAAGAAATTTTGTTTATTTTCTCTTAAATTCTTGTTTTTTTTTGCACAGTGTAGATGGGAAACAATTTGCACACAAATCATGTTAATATATTAGCACAGTATCTAATAAATAGCTACAAACTTTGTCCAAATTCTGTCCAATGTTTGAACAAAAATAAATTAAAGGATAAAACAAAGAGTCAGAAGTTTGATGATATATCAAATTTAAATCAAACGTATTAATTTGGTATCAGCGAAACAATCCCTGTATTTAAATGGTATTGGATCAATACCAAAGCAGTATCACACACTTGTATTGCAGAGTTCATTAACTTTGTACAATGAATATGTATACACCTCCAAACTCCACGTGGCTTTAGGTGAGCTCAAGAAAAGTTAGTAAAAATGACATTATTTCTCTAACTGTGGCTTTCAAACAAACAAACTTAATTTTGGCAATCATAATTTATTTTATTTATAATGCCCTTCATATCTAATTGAAATCTCAAAGGGTTCATTCACTCGCTGCTGATTGCAACAGTTGGGTCCAGATGAGTTTCACTGCGAATCATCTGATTTTGGGGGGACAAAATGAATCTACATAGCTGAACGTAGACAACTCAGTAGTCTACAGGCTCCTTGTTAACAAGCTTAACTTGCTGTATTGTTATTATATTGTCATCTTTTAGCTAACAGTACCTACAACCAATGTAGGTAATGCACTGCTGACTCTGTGGGCGGGCAATGCCCCCCCAACGCCCGCCCCTGCCGCCGGGCCTGGGTCAAGTCTGATACAGGAGGCTTTCTGACCAACACCAGCAGGCAAGGTGGGTGAGGTGTCTTGCTTAGGGTCAAAAACGATGAGGGAATCAAACCGGCAACCGCAACCCACCAGTAACAGGGCGAACGATTCAACCAGCTTTCTCACTGAGCTAAAGCAAAGTAACCTTGGTCAGATTAACTGATTTAAACGGTGTACGTAAACTTAAGCTTTTAACTTCATCAAAAAGTATAATTTTGCATGACTTCTTCTTTTTGTTTTTTCCATCATTACCATTTAATACTCCTGTTCCAGATTTGCTGACCTTACAGCACAAGAAACATTTCCTTCTGGACAGACCTTTATTTTTATTTATTGTTTACTTTTTTTCATTATTGCATTATTATTCAAATATTCTAACCTGGAACTGAACATGATCGACCTCGAAGGAATCCCTCTGATCTCAGACCCGCTGATCGCTCTTGTCCGACCTGCCCGCCCCCAGGCGCCGGCGTCCTGTTCTCCGTGTGGGCGGAGTTCCATCCCCCGACCTTCTCGAGCAGCCGCTGCCTAGGCAACCGCAGAGGCATGCGTTCGCAGGAAGGAGGGCCCGTCAGCCGCACAGACCGCTCCGAAAGTCAGCAGCGGGGACCTGAGCGCCGTCCTGCTCGCTGCTGGGGGAGACACGGACCGGGCTGCCGCGGATAGAGGAGACGCTCCCATCGACACGTTAGAGCCGAGCTCATCTTCCTGAAGCTGCACCCGGAGCAGAGGCTGATTCTAGGTGAGTCTGCTCTGCCACGGAGGTGCAACGTTTGACTCTGGGCTTTTATTTCCAACAAGACAGATCATCCTTAGAAAGGATGAAAAGTGGAGCGAGTTGACATGATGCAGAGGAGAGCAGACCAGTTAACCAGCAGTGGCTCCCAGTGCAGGCAGTGGACCATCTGAATGAGCTCAACCACAGGGGAAAGAGAAAAGAGAATTCCCAGATTGTGCCTCCTGACACTCACCTTATTGAATAACATTAATTCGACTTTTATATTTGTGCATTACTCTGAAACTTTTAAATGTCTGCAAACTGCTCCTCAAACCAGCTTCTTCTAAGCAAGAGAACATCTTTCTTTGCAAGTTTGGTTTCAAGTGCAGATGATCTTCTTCAAACCTAGATCATCATTTTTTGTAGCATTGAATATGTAAAAGGGATCATGGCAATGACACCTTGCCATGATCCCAGACTGGGTTAAACCTTAGTCTGGTTTAACCCAGTCTTCTTACTGACTTTTCTGTCTTGAATCTTTAGATTTGTAGTTTTATTTAAGCTGTCTAAAAGGTTCCTTTATAGCATAATCAAGTAACTATTACATCCAGTTGTCACAAAAATGCTGCATATATCAATTATGACATGAAAGAAATTTGATGTTCATATTTAATGCCTTGCAATTAGGCGTCTGTCTCTTCTGAAACTTCACCTTCAGGAAGTCATCACAGTACTCCCTTTAACAATGTTTTTCTTTTTGTATTTCTGTTTTACCAGCGTTGCACTGCGTAGTAGCCTGTGTGATATGCAGCTCCACCACGTGTTTGCTAATTGCTTCTGACTAGTCTGCAGGAGCTGAGTGGTTGAGGGCTACTCTGTGAGGCAGAAGCTCTGAAGCTAGGAACCTGCAGCTCTGAGGAGGAGCTACGTTTCAAAGGCGGGGCTAGGTCCACCTGGGTGTTTTGCGCAGTTGAATGGTCGCCATTGGGGATGAAAGGATTTCTCAAACATGCACGAAAGTATCGAGGCAACACTCCATGTATGTTTCTGATGATTGAATGACTATAACAGGATGTACAGCTCAAAAGTTGATTCAACATTAACACTGCCTCTTTAATAAATGAACATTTTAACCAGATACAGAATAGGAAACAGTTAATTTTTTCATGGAAGTCAAATATTTGCCTTATTCTCTGTGAAAATTGGATTTTTTTCTTGTTAGTTTGGAAGTCGGGTAGATGAAGCAGCGTGATGAAAGCGCTTCCTGTCACTGAGCCGTGGCTGTGAGGGTGTGATGAAGCCAGGCTGGGAACCACTGCTGCAGGACTCAAACTGAACTGTAACAGAAGCTCTGCAGACATCGCCCTTGTCTCTTTCATGTATTAACACATTTCATCTTCGCTGTGACGGTGCAGACGTGAGACGCTACAGTCTGCCAGTCAGCCTGCCTGCTCCCTCGCTGTCACTGTGGTCTGCCTGCTAGCTGTGTGTTAGGTAGCTTTGTGGTTGTGTGTCTGTGCTCATTTGTTGTTGCATGTATGTGGTTCCTCCTCAGTTCCTGCAGAGACCTGTGGTTTTTGCCTCACCACCTACAGGATGCACATGAATAATATGTTAAATCAGTGGAGTAAGTATTTAAGTATTCAGACACTCTCCAGCCTTTCCTTACACTACAATGGTTTATAAAACTGTTCCTGCACCTCAGACCCTTAAACATTTTGTCACTTGATTTTGTGTATCAGACCAAAATTAAGAAGCAAAAGTGTGACGCAGAAGGAACTGATGATGATTTGTATTTTTTTTGTTTACTGATAAACTCTAAAAAGTGTGGTGTACACTTCACTTGTATTCAGCCACAATTATTCTGATACTCAGGGTCTCCCTCAGAAAACCTGCTAAGAAGCCCAGTGATAGAGTCACCTGCAGGCCCATCACATACAATATTTGAGTTAAAAAATGTTTAACTTTGACAGGAAATCTGAAAATATGGCTAAGTAAAAACAGCTACAATTCAAATAAATAAATATGTTTTGCACTTAAGTTGTTTCATCCAAATTAAAGGGTTTAACAAAGTGTAATCCATGTCTTGTCACTTCATTCAGTGAAGCTATGAACATGTAGATCAAGGTTTTCTCACTATTTTGAGTGAGCACTCCTTTACTTTTAGTTGTTGAAGAATGGCTTCTTCAAAATACCACAGAAAATTAAAGATTTCTTAAATCTGCATAAAAGAATCAAGGGAACACACCAGCGTTGCTGTCACAGCTAACTGTTAGACCAACAACAGATGAGACCAACTTAAATCAAATACATTTTTGGCCCATATGCTAAGTACTGTTTGTAGTGAGAATCTAAAACTTGTGTACATCAGTATGTTGATGTACACAAGACCCTGAAGTACCTGAAAGGGTAACTTCTCTGAAAGCTGGTTTCGGCTTTCATCCTCCTCAGTCAGAGAATTACAATTGGACATGACATTTTTTCATTTTGTCATGTTTGCAAAATCTTAGTTTTCTGTCAGAGTTTGCATATTTACAGTGTGTTGGTCCATACAACAAAGTTACTGTGAAACACTTTAAGGTTTCTGGTTCTACTGCAGCCAAAGGTGTTGTTGTCAGGAATGTCTTTAAAAGAAACAATTTGGATGGCATAAAAAATGGCTTTTGATGCTCAGCTCCTCTCAACTCTCTGGCCCTGAATCAAGGCCTAGTTAAAGAACAGGGCCTGATGTTTCTGCATCACAGCCGTCTCACCACCTGCTCTGAGTTTTTAATCAGGATGAAATGCTGCTTTAAGCAGATGAACGCACTGTACCGCAAATATGTTTAGCTCTGCATTGTCCTGAAATAGGATTTATTTTCCTCAGCATCCAGCATGTCTACACGTGTCCAAAGACAGTGTGTCAGAGTAGTGTCCTATTACCTGCTGTCCGCTCAGGCCCCAAGTTCCTTTTTATATAGGAAATCATAATTTTCACTAATCATCTTTCATGATCTCCCCTGGTGTTATGCTCCAGTTATGACCTAAACATTCTCTGAGCTGGATTTATTTCCGCACACGCTGTATCCATGCATTGCCATTTTTTTGTATGTCTGTTTTTCACAAAAAACTCTCAACAAATTCTATAATGGGTCCAGTATATGAGTTTAAATATATAATAATACATGAAGTATGATTTTTAATTCAGATAAGATAATAAATCTACAAATTTCTGCAACACTTCATAATTTAATAATGTATGAACTGGTGAAGGTGAGACAGTCATGAAAGTTTACACAAATGTTCCTGATGCTACCTAACAATTTTTGATGTGTGGGTAAGAGTCGCATTTATCAGATAGTGCATTATTTATCATAATAAATTTCTTATAAGAATTTTGATTTATTATTCTCATGATAAATTCCCATTAATGACCCTCAGAACCACCAACAGCGTCTCTGTGTGTTCATGACACTTTGAATATTCCTGCTGATGTTTCTACATTTTTTCTGGCTAGTGGCAGACAAATATTAAAGTAAACATAAAGTTGTTTTCTGTGTTCCGATTAGATTCCTTGTTGTCTTCTGACTCTCCATTCTAATCATGTGTTGAGTTCTGGACTTTTTTCCTCAGTTACTCTGACTGTGATCACTCCAAATAAACAAAGATCATAAATATTTCTCCTTCTCAACTGACTTCTCGGCTTCTTGGACAGGGTCCACCAGTAATATGCTAATATTAAGTTATTTTATTTGTATTGCTGTATTTGAAATTTGTGCATAGTGGCCTCAGCCTGAAATCGTATCCAGTAATGATTATTGGGTCCAATACCAAGTGAACCAGCCTTCACTATGAAAAAGGATTTTTCCTACATGGCATGAACTCGACAAACTTTGCAGCTTGGCTTGAGTTCTGGGCTGTCGTAGTGGTGAGAAACTGTTGACAGGAATAGCGATACATTGTGTGGTCTCTGCAATTTGCCTGACCTCCGACGTCCTTTCTGTCCTACTCAACCACTTTGTACAAGTGATGTATTGTTTACCAGAGAGAAATGATCTTTTCTGGAAAAAAAAAAAAAAAAAAAATCACTGTCTGCTGGCATTCTCAAAGTGGTCGGGGCGTCACTCTGTTGTGTAATATAATCAGCCCGTTTTTTTAGACCGCTGCATAACCACAGAGATAGAAGCTGCCGGGGGAAGACAGTCTCAGATTCCCTAAAGGCCTGAATGCATTTAGAAAAAGTACTCAAATCCCAAAAGCGTCATTAAAGTCCACCTTTATTTCCCTATCTCTTAATTCTTAAGGTTCGGATTGGGTTGAAAACTGATTTAAGAGGTTTGGTTGCTAGCATAATCTCCTCAAAATTAAATTGTTTAAATATTCCCATGATGTATCCCTGCTGCATTTCCTTCCCATAACTTCTACTGTTGTATCTCCCATGGAGGTTGGGTTGCAACACTAACCACTTATTAGTTGGTGTACCACAGAGTTGTGCCTAAATGCTTCCATCCTTATTAGGGTTTTGGAATCTCTGACTGGGAACTATTTCATGTCTAAATATCTAAACATGAAAATGTTGAAGGGAAATTACAAAATGGTGCAGCCGAAGAGAGATGCAAATGGTGTGACCTAATCTAAACCTAACCTAAACTGGTCTGCAACTGGTCTCTGATGCATATAGAGAGTATACATTGATCCATGTGGTTTGATCCAACAGATAAACCACTGTAGTTCAAATTACTGAGTACATAGTGTATCACCAGCACCAGTGTCAGTGCAGGTCATAATGTTACGCCTGAGTGGTCTGTTCACCTTTTTCTGTACATAACTTGTGTTTCTGAGGAGTCAGTTCTCATGGAGGTCCTCAAATAACCATTTTGTAATTATGGAAAGTGACAGACACAGGCCTCTTGACCTTGCCTGCCACCCGTCTCATGTTGCAGCTGACCTCAATGTTTCTGTTTGCGAGGAGTGGGCCCATGAGGAGGTAGCTTACAGTGGCTGTTTTAAGGCTGGGACAGCCGGTTTCCAGGAGTTAAGACTCAAACATCAGGAAGTTACTTGGAAGCTCATAACCCCAGGCCTGGTTCAAGAAAAGCCTCTGTTCCTGGGTGAGGTACCCTGTTTCTCATGTCGTTCTCTGTGTTTTCAGGACAGTGCTCTGGTTCGCCTTGGTGGAGAAAGAGCAGAGCTGAAAAGTCCAACTCTCACCTATTGTTCTGGGTTGGCAATCATGACCACTAAAGTGCTTTGAGTCACTCTGTTTGCTAGCTATGCTAGGGTACAGTGAGTGAATGTTGGTCTACAACAAAATGAGCCAGTGGTTTGGGATTCTAAGTAGGGTGCTTCACTTTTGCAGGTCACCTCTGGAGATGATGATGCAAAGAATGAGTATTCATAAAGTCAAAATAATTAAGGACAACCCTGACCATCCTCTTCATGAGACTGCTTTACAACAACAGAGTGTCTTCAGTCATAGGTTTCTTCAGTTACACTGTGTTACAGACTGCTACAGGAGCTCTTTCCTGCCCACAGCCATCAGCATGCCTAATGACTAGTTTAAAAAAAAAAGTGGGATATGAGTTAAAACTTTCAATTTCCCTCTGGGATTAATACATATTTTGTTTTGAATTTGAGGCTGCATGGTTGTAGATGAATCAGGGTTATACTGATATGCCTGCTGGGTGTTTACAGTCTGCATCATCTTTTCTTAGTTTTAACTAAGAAAAGGTGGTGAAGTATGCACCTCATGTTTTGATACTTAGCTCTAGGGAAACTAGTCTGAGTTTGGTGTTGGCAGTGGAACTTTAATGGGAGCAGTGGAAGCCTTTCCAAGAAGTCGCCATCTGGTCTTTGAAAGCCTTGCTATTGCTTGTTTGCCCTGACAGGTCAGGCTCACTGCTCTCTGCTTGTCTAACCTTCCCACTCAGTCTGTAAGGAAAAGAAAAACAGAAAGCTCAAGCTGTTGCTAGGCCATCCAATGCCTCAAAACATTTATGTATTCTGTTGGGATTTTAAACTGTGGAGTGGAACAAAAATGAGTTTGAAGTAATGTTAATCCTGTGGAATTACATTATTATCATTATTAATTTTTTCATTTGATATTTTTTATTATTATTATTTTTCTCTTTGCTTTGACAACCTTAAATAAAATTTGGTCCAAACTATTTTTCTCAGAAGTCACCATGTAACCAATTAGAGTGCACCTGGGGGTAATTTAATATCAAGTGAACCAAACTTTCAAAAAGAAGAACATTTTCTATTCTCTCATCTCTAACATTCCCATGTTTGGATGGAGAGAACTTAATTAGCCACACAAACAGAAAACAGTAGGTTTTGTTGTTCACACTGGAGGTATGCAATGCTAAACATTTGGTGTTGGTAAAAATAGAACCAGTATTATTGATACCAATGTAATTCAAGTTACTCCTTTAAACTTCTGACCTTGATTCCTTTTTAAAAAATTGTTAATACATCCTACTGAATTTGGAAAAAAAATATTGGTGTATGAAATATTTATAGTATATTCAGGATATTAAGGGAGGGTAGGAACAAAACTGCCACTGCACCTGACCCACAAGAGGACAGTGTAACTCCCTGCAGTTTTAGTGCAATGCTCAGTAAAAGCGCAGCAGATGTCATGGTTGGCCAACCAAGTGACCCGTCAGGTCTTCAGTTTGCAAAACCCCCCCTCAGAAAAAAGCTGTTAAATTTGCAACCCTGCCATAACCACACAAACGTAAAAAGTTCATGCAAGCCCTCTTAGGACTGCAAGGGGGTTGACAAGCTGGTTATTCATTTTTAGCTGGCTTCACTGCATAGTCACGTTTAGCTTACAGAATGCTTACGCCAAACCACCTAATAAACAAAAGTAAACTGACCAATAGGACTTAGGTTTAGGACAGCCACATGCCCACCCAAACAGACGCACACAGATGTGGGTTATGTACAGGATGTTTTGGCACAAAATAACTTTTTTTCTTCTTCACAGTATTGTCAATAGCTAATAGGGGTAAAAAAAAAAAAATCCAATAACTATAATTCATCAATTTTTTTTTACTTGGAGAAAAAATTTCAAGATATGCACAAGTGCGTACAGCCGTACAACTGAAGGCGCTACTTAGCATATTAACAAGACAATCAGAAACAACAGAAAAAATAAACATGTCCATGTGCATCTTGTCCTTCATAGACAAAGTGCAAAAAGTTATCGCTTGAGAAGAAATCAAAGCAAAAACAAAAGTGGAGACCAAACAGCCAGGACAGAAAAGCAGGCAAAATGACGAAACAAAGGAGAGAAGAGAGGCACAGAATGGCAGATTCAATGGCTGCACTGTAAGCATTTCTCTCTGACAGCGTTTCAGCTATAATTGTTTAGTCTGAAGCCAAATGAACAAAAGCAGCATGAATAGCTGGGGTTGAGTCCCCCGACTTGATTGTTAAAAGCTTGTTGATTGTGTTAGCGTGTCAGCGTGCGCTTTCCACCGCCGTCAGTGTGACTATAGAGTGAACAGAGTTTGACCTTCTGTGCTGTCACGCTAGCTCACTGTGGCCCAGCGAAGGTCAGGATGAAGGCAGGTCAGGACTCACCTGAGTGGAGAACAGTTATTAGTAAAGTTTCAGTTACAACTACTGATTCAGCACAATCATAAAGAAAATTACAGTAGGATGGAAAAGATCTGTGAAAATAATGGTTTATTGACAATAATGAAATAAATATAGTGTTTTAGGGACTCCAACTCGTTTTAGTCAGACTAAAGATAATCTGAGTGTTTTCCAGGCACATAGTTCATTGTTATCTTTGGAAGTACAGATGCTGTTGACTCACTTAGCAAAACAGATACTATTTCAAAATGTTCTTTTTCCGAGAATACAGCACAAACTTTTAATCAAATCTACTCCTCCTACTCACCTTTATGCTGTAACCATGTAGACGTGTTGGAAGGTGACATCCATTCTAAAGTTTCAGATATTATTGATTCCACCGAGGTGAAGACAGTGTCTGGTAGAAATGGACCTCTATGGAGACATGCGCAAACTGTCGTAGGGCTGAACGTAAATGTTGTAAAACTCAACTTTATGTTTATTATGAAACCTACAAAGAAAGATAGCAGAGCTATCACTCAACACTAAAACATGCAAGGGCAACATTCTTTTGGGAATTTATGAAAGTTGACAGGCTCACAAACCCTCCTGTGACTGAACCACCAAACATGACCTGCAATGACTTTGCCAACTTCTTTACAAAGAAAATGTAAAAAGTAGAACATTAAACTGCACATCCACACTAAATCAAATGTCAGTACTATGCTCAAAATGTACTCAATTTCAACAACTTAAATATAAAAGCCTATTAATTAACCTCCTCTTTCTGCTGTCTTGACTTTCTTGACTTTCCTTAACTTTCCAACTGCAGACTTTCAGGCCGATCTCCAACCTTACATTCATCTACAAAATGATTGGAAAAGCTGTTTAATCAGTTAGATAGCTTTCAAACTATAACTAATTGCTTTGATATCTTTCAGTCTGGTTTCTGTACTCACCAACATACTGAGAATGGCCTAGTCAAAGTGTTCAATGACATATGGCATAGAGACTGTGAAAGATCCAGACTGCTGGTTCTGTTGGACCTCAGTGCAGCTTTTGACATCTTATTGAAATGCCTGGAGAGTTGTGCTGGACTCTGGCCCAGTACTGAAGAATACGTAATACATGAAGAACAGAGATTTATTTGTTTCAATTTGTAGTTTCTCATCGTAGACACATGTGGAGAATGTGGATACCTGTTATTCAATATCTATATGCTAAAACAGGAAATAAGATTAGCTGCCATAACTATGCAGATGATACACAGCTCTACATTACCACGTAACCAGATGAATCAGAACCAATTTCACAAAAACATCTAAGCTCACATATTGAGTTTTAGAATAAAACTTACTATTTTATAATATGATCCAGATTATCCAGAGATGAAGTGTTTCCCCCCTTCATTAAGGTTCTACCATAAAAAAAACACAACTACAAGTCTCTGCCTGAGGTGAATGATCACCTCAGCCTTTTTTTTAAACCTGACACGATGCAGCATCTTTGTTTGTGTCTGTAGAGTGGAATCACTTTGCCCATCTATGCAGTTAATAAGAGGATGGTGAGGCCGGGCCTTTCATGAGCTGCTCTTTCATCCAGGCTTGCTTTCATGCTGATAAATGCATAAATTGCCCTTTTGGTTGTCTTCTTTTGTGATGCCTCAATCGGTTTCGTTACAGTGGAAATTCTGCTTCAACATGCAAGACATCAGCTTGAGTAAAATGCTAATAAAACTAAATTACATTTATTTTCATACATCCAGGGGCCCAGTTATTTTGCAGACATGCTTGCAAATTCTCTGTTCTTCAAATTGTCACAAAACTAATCATTAAAAAAAACTTATTTTAAACATGTTGTTATTTTATGATTCTTTTTTTTTTTTTGCTTAGTGTCCTGTTTGTAATTTTGCACGCTGTGCGGCAGAGTTTTTGTACGCGCATGATGACCCACATCTGCATGTTTCTCTTTGTCCCAGCAGACATCTCCAGGATGTGCGATGTGGACCCGTCCTCGGAGCCCAACAGCCCCACCCTGTACGGCGAGTCTTCAGACAGGTACTACCATGTGGACCGCTGGCAGAAGCTCCGCACGGCCGTACGCAAACTGGAGTTCTGGGAAAACTTCCGAGCTGAACTCATCGGGAGCGGATTCTTCTCCAGAGTCTACAAGGTATTCCGTCTCGCTGTCCTGCCCCCGGATTTACACGTTGCTGCTCTACATCTGAGCTGCCATCAAAGCTGGCTTTGTTTGAGCCTCTTAATAAGGACATTCTTGCCATTCTGTGATTGGCCCACCAGCTTTAGAAAATGTGTGGGCACAAAATTCTCCCACCTTACATAATTCTCGTTTTAAAGCTAATTTTTCTGCACAGCAACAGGGACAGCATGCTGTCAGAAATGTTGCTGATGAAATGATCTGGAATTAGTTCGAGGAGTTCGTTTGGAATAATTAGAGGTTTAATTTGTCCAGCCAGAACTTGGCTGAGAAGCATCCTCTGTTCTCTGTCTTGACTGGTTTTTCTCACCTTTGTTTTAAAGCTTCTTCTTTTCGTCCTCATCGTTCCTCATCAAAAATAACTTGATTATTTTTTTCGGCTTCAGTTATTTGGAAATGGAACTGTAACTTAGTGAAGTGCTTCATTCTCACTCAGTCGTAGCAATCAAGGTTTTAACCAGTCCTTCTTGTTCTTACTTTTGTTTTTCATTTTTATTGCGGTGCAGAAATAGTTGTCGTCTACTGAGATGGCTTTCGGAAAGCCAACAGAAAGGCTTTCCTCTGTCTAAAGTGTGCCGCTGCTTCTCAGGTGATTCACAGCACTACGCGGAAGGTGATGGTAGTGAAGATCTACAAAAATGACGTGGACCAAGACAGCATCGTACGAGAGATCACCCTGCTGCAGAAGCTCTCTCACCCCAACGTTGTCAGGTAAAAGCACTGAACCTTTCCCAGTCTCAGCTCAGCCAAAGCTACATCAAGCAGGACTCAGTCTAAAGCTGCCATCTAAAAAAACCTTAGTCTACTGAGAGCAACATAGTTTGAGACAGTCCCTTCTTTGACACACGAAAATGTAACTTTCATATAATACACATACATATTTTCTTTAAAAAAATACAAACCAGGGTATTTATGAAATTGTAACCTATCTAAAATAATGTTTTTACTTAGGTGACCTTTTTGCCTAAAGATTATTTATGAAAAAAAATAAATACATTTTTGGCAAAAAATGAATTGGTCCATCGGGCCATTATTTTAGGAAAGTGACAATATGACATGTTAATAGTTACTAGATAGACAAAAGTCACCACTGCCATTTGTGAGTTAATTTCAGGCTCAGGAATAAAGTCACAAATAAAATGACTTCTTTGTTTCAGGTATCTGGGTATCTGTGTGAAAGAAGACAAACTTTACCCCATCTTAGAGGTCAGTTCTGCTTTCTGCGTCTCTTGTTTGCTGTTAATACATTTCTGTTATTAGCTTCGTCTATTGTGCAGACAAGAAACAAGAAATGTTGATCTGATATGCTATGATCACTATGAAACTGTTGTCGTCCAACGTGTTCTTGTTTCTTACTTTTAATGTGAATTCCTCATTATCATTTTTTAAAGAAAGTTTTTATGAAAATCGGCTTGCAGATAAATTGGTGCAGCCTTACTTGCCAGAAAGTGGATATTCGTCTCTCAGGGGCGGCTGTTGATGAAGGTTTGAGAGTTATGTCCTGCAAGTCTTCACTGAGGACCATGAAGGTGCACTGTCTGGACAAGTGCACTTTACAATGCAATGTTTAATTGCATTGTCCAAAGTGACAAATCCTCTTGATTTTCTCAGGGGTTTTAAAGTGGTGTGCTTGTGATCCAGAAGTGAGCCGCACAGTCCTGTTAGTGAAAACGTTCACATCATCAACATCAACCTGTGCAGAGGGTTAGTTCACTTGGTCCAGTGAACCTTGTGTTTGTTCCCTCTGGGTGCCTTAGACATGATAAGGCTTGTTATTTACAAAGTGTAAGTGCTCATTATGGTTGCATGTCCATCACCCAGTAGGTGTAAACTTCTGTTTTGATGCAGCCCTTAACCTGATCACTGGCTGCATGTTTCAGTACGTAAACGGCGGCTGCCTGGAGGAGCTTCTGGCCAGGAAAGATGTTCCCCTGTGCTGGAGAGAGAAGGTGGACCTGGCCTGTGACATCTGCAGAGGAATGATCTACCTGCACTACAAGAACATTTACCACAGAGATCTGAACTCAAAGGTGAGACCGCCAACCAGAACTCAGGCACTTCTGTTGTCAAAACTGGAGAAGATGTGCAACAATCTGGGTTTTGGAGATATTTTTAAAGCTGACAAAGTACTGAAGTAATGATTGGTGGTGTGTCATCACATCAGACAGGACAAGACCTGATTGGTCACTTACCAGGTATTAAAAATCATAACTTTCACTTTCAGTTTATTTAGAATAAAATGTTTTGCAAATAAGAAATAAGAAACACAATACAAAGGTTCAGTAACTGAGTTAACATTTTTAAATAAATTAAAATATATGCAATTAATTAATCGAAATGAACGCAGTAAAGATCAAGTCCTACTTAAAATAACTCAGTCCTGGTTTGACTGGCTAATGTTTCCATTATTCAGTCGTCCTAATGCCTAAAAAGCTTTGAAAAGTGTTTTTGCAAATAAAAGTAAATAAATTCTGATACTGTGTTTTGACCATATTTGAATTAAATACAATTTATTTCAGAGTCCTTTAAGGAAGTGAGAGGAACTACATTAGCACTTTAATGTAGTTTGTGATTGAACAGTGAAAACATTTCTTTAAAAAATGATAATGAGGAATTCACATTAAAAGTAAGAAACTAGGACACATTGTTTGGAAGACAACAGTTTCATAGTGATTATAGGATATCAGATCAACATTTTTTGTTTCTTGTCTTCATAATAGACAAAGCTAATAACAGAAATTTATTAACAGCAAACAAGAGACACAGAAAGCAGAACTGACCTCTAAGATGGGATAAAGTTTGTCTTCTTTCACACAGATACCCAGATACAAGGTCCATGAATTACATTGCAGTCCCGAAAAATGATTAATGATCTTGCTGCACCCCTACACACCAACAGGGGATTTAATTTAGATTCTCACAATTAAACACACACAGTTAAAGCAGATTTTTATGTGGTCATCTCTATTCTCATGTTTCTTTGGTTTTACTGCTTTTCTGAACAAGTCCAGTTGTGTTTATGAAATATATTGTCAGTTCTTTGAACAGAATATCGTCTACTTAATTGAGAGTGATGTTAAACAACAGCTGGGCTGAAACGCATCTTCCTCTTCATGTACACAGTTTTAGTAAAGAACATGGCAACCGCAACAGAAAATAACTGATCCGTCTTGACTTTTTTGTTCTTTTCTGATTAAAATATTGCTTTTTATTTCCTTCTTGCTTTATGCTGCATGCTTGTTCTTATATAGCTTAAGGAGAAACAAGTGTGAACCATCTGCTGAGGAAATAATACACTTGTTGCCCATGACTTTAGCTGGAAATAAGCACGCAGATATGAATATTTGCACAGGGGGTCTCTATCTATTCCGCTTTATGTTTATAGTTTGTTTTGCATTTTACCTGAATTAATTCCAGCATTGACCCTTCGCTGTACATTGAAGGACGTCTCCGTTTGCGTGTTTGTTCTCAGTGACAGTATGAGGCCTTGAAGAGCCTCTGTAAATTGCTGCGTGGGTGAACTTGTGTGTAGGTGCCGTCTTTCCTCCGGTTGCCAGGCCTTCCACAAGAAGCCAGCAGAAATGCAAAGCAACATCCTGACAGCCTCTGTTGTTATGTTAATAGCGTGTTGCTTGCTGCAGACTGTTGGCTGTCACCCAGTGGTTCCTCACTTGGCTCCAGGCTAATTCTTTAAGAGAGTTGTTGGTTTGCGTCAAACCTCTACAAGGCAAAAACCTGCTGATCCAGATCGGATAGAAAGTTTGGATTTCTGTAGACAAAGTGAAAATGGTCTAAAGCATTGTGTTCAAAGTGAGGCTCCCAGGCCATTTGTGGCCCCTGGACTGATTTCATGTCCATAACGTAGGACTACATTTTATACCTTTTGACTAAAGTTTGACTTTTCAGTTAAAATGTACTAACAGATATGTTAGATGCAACATAAAGTGATCATTTCTAGTTTCCTTCTGTTGTCATAGTAACTAGGACCACATTTACTCACTAACTTTTAGTCTTTTGGGCCCAGAAGTATTTTTGAGCTGATCTCAGCTCCTGCGGCAAAAAATATGTTTTACCACACAATATGTAATATTGTGTCATTATGTAACAATAATACAATATTTTGCCACATTTGTTTCCTGAATACTATTTCAGTCTCTTGTTTTCATCTTTGTTACCTCAATGATTTTGAAAATGGTTGCCTCAGAGTCTTTTTTTTAAATAGTAACATCCACACTGAAGAGTGTTGTTAGACCTGATAATGATTAGTTATAGTGCATTCATAACAAAAGGATCCACTGACCTGATCTATGAGGCTAACCAGCCAGTTCTGATAACCGTCTGATAAATATATAAAGTTTCAGAATATATGGTTTCAAAACTCCTAAATGTGAATAGCTGTAATTTAAAATTTCAAAAATAAATTTGCTTTATGAAACCATGAGAATTTTGGAAAAACTCTTGTTTTTCAATAAAACGTTTTGGGATGAGGTTGTTATTTGGCTGTGTGGAAACCAGTTTGAAAAATTGCAGTTTTGGGATCACACAAGTCAGATGATCAACAATCGGATGTTGTAATTGGTGCAAACCATCAAGGAGATGACGACAGGAAGTAGTTGGATGACGACAGGAAGTAGTTGGATGACAACAGCGTAGCATGTTTTTTTAATGTGTGAACAAACATATTCCTGTGTGATTTTAATTGCGTTTCTTATTTAATGGAAACAATGCAGTTGTGTAAACATGTTTTTTTCCGACATTGGCAGAATGTTGACAAAGTTTTGCACACATTTATAAATGAAATGCGGCTCGTGACGTTGAAATGACTCCTGAACTGATGCAGGCTCTGTGAAGGTGTGAGAAGTCGCCGCGCTCTTTGGAGCTTTCGGGTTTCCTCCTTTTGTCTGCTGCTCTTTCCACTTCTGTCTCCAAAGCTGTTGATTTCCCTGCCAAAGAAATGACTAAACGAAGGTGCTAAATTTAGAGCTCAGGTCTTGAAGAGAAGTTTTTCCCTGCGTAAGGCCTCGTAATGAAAGGTTAGCAGAGGGAAGAGGTTTCTCGCATCTGAGCCAGACTCCAACCACATCATGTGTACGCACACAGAGCGCTCCACGTGAACCATGCTTTCACCCATCAATCCACACAAAAAGCTCCAATTAGACATCACACACATATCTGGGACCACTTATTGTTATGCAATCATATCTCCCACTTCCTGCACCTCTCTGTCATCACACCTCCTGCTGTAAACAGCCCAGGTTCTGTCTCCATTAAAAGCTGTTGCTTTTTATCAAAAAGCAAAATGTGTGATGAAGAGTTGATCAGTGAATCGGAGGCTTCCCAGCTCCATAGTGGCACTCTGAGTCTGGCCTCTGCATGTGGTCCATTTGAATTATTTAGTGAGGGTGAAAGGTTCTGACAGTCAGAACCGGTCAGAACCGGTGAAGTTGCTCCATAAAACCGTCTGACTCTAACTATGATGACATAATGAATCCGTCAAGCTTTTCATTTTCTAGGTTGTATACGTACGCTGCCCTCTGCTGTCAGATTCTCACGTTGCGGTTCTCTTCTCGTCGGTCCGTCCAGAACTGTCTGGTCCGAGAGACTCCTCGGGGCTGGGAGGCCCTGGTGACAGACTTTGGGCTGGCGAGGGAAGTGGTGGAGCTGCCTGTGAAGGATCCCGGCAGGAAGTTGTCATTGGTGGGCTCGGCCTTCTGGATGGCCCCCGAGATGCTCCGAGGAGAACCCTACGATCGCAAGGTGAGTCCTCAGTCGTTTTCCAGGAATGGGTTTTAGTTCTGTGTGCAGGAAGTCAAAGCATTCTCTTCTGAGCTTCTATTCCCCAAAAAACTGAACTTCTTTCAAACTTTTCTACATTATAAACGTTTTCTTCCTAGAAGCTCTCCATCTCTGCTCTCTTTGGGAATCTCACAGTGTAGTGTGCTGAGCCCAATGTGTTTTCTGTTATACATTCACGACCTTCCCAGAAATATTTAAGCACTCCAATACTTTAAAGCTGAAGTATGTAGCTTTTCTAAACATTTTTTTACACATTTGTTGAAACTGTCACCATGTTGTTGCAGTGCACTGTGAGACAGATCATCTGGAAAAGTTCGAACTCCTCCACTCTCTCCTTGAGCTCCTGTTGTCTTCTGAAGAATCCAAAAACACCTAATCAGAGTGAGGAGGAGGGTCTTAACGCTGTCAATCATCCCCATGTACTCACTGCTAAATGTGCTAATGGTAGAGAAACAACTTACTGTTACAGGAAAACCATTTATTTATCCAACATCATTAGTGGCTATGCTAACTAGCCTGAGCATTCACCAGAGGCTCTGATAGCTGCAGTGCAGCAGAGAGCGTAGAGGGAGTAAAAAGGAGTAAGAGCAGAGTCACACATAGGCTGACTGACATCTCTAAGACCCGCCTCCTGGCTCTGATTGGTTGTTTCTAGTTATCGCAGGGAGAAGGTGCAGGAGCTCGACTGTTCCACAGACTATCTGTCTTATACCAAACTGTCATAACATGACGACAGTTTCGACAAATATGTAAAAAAATATATTTTTTTCTAAAGGTGATGTACTACAGCTTTAATACATGAGCAAGCTGCTTATTTTGTCTCGTTTAAAATATTCAGATTTAGATATTCAAATAGTCAGTTACATGGAGATCTTCAGCAGCTTCAGCGCTTGTTACAAGATAATTAATTTAAGCAAAAAACTGTGCATGTATTTTTTTCTCACGTTTCATTATACCAAAGCTCCTTCTGCTGTCGCAACTTATAAATATCTAGACATTATTTTGGATTCTCATCTCAACTGAAGCAAAAATAATTTATATTTACTACAAAATTAGGTCAAATTTGTCATCTTCTGTTTGGAATCTTCATGCCAGGATATTTACAGCCATGTCATACTGCCTGTATGCTCTCTTGCTAATGAAGTTTTGGAACCCACAGAGCCTGCAAAATTCATAATTATCTTCCTGTCTGGATTCTTTCAACTTTAAATGCTTTATTGTTTCAAAATGATGTTTTGCATGAAGTTGTAATTTAAGATTTTCCGAGGTGAGAGGTAAGTAGCTCTTTCTGCTCTGATTCCTGAACAATGTGTTGGAAATGATCGCTCGACTCGCTCTGGTGGAAATGGACACTTGCCATTCGCAGCCTTTAAAACTGTTAATGCCAGAGATACATTTTCTATGTATATAATATTCCATAACATATGAAGTCCTTGTCAACACTGGCATTGTGTAAAAAGACTCATCATGGTCATTTGTTGAAAACCTTCTTCCTCCATCTCCACTAGGTGTTAAGTGTCTGAACTGACAGATGGAAATGTGGAGCTTTATGTTGTAGACATTAGTCTGCTGCTTGTTTCAGGTGGATGTTTTCTCCTTCGGCATCGTTCTGTGTGAAATCTTGGCCAGGATCCCGGCCGACCCAGAGATCCTGCCTAGAACCCAGGTACAAACCAGAACCAGAACCAGCGGTGCACAACAGCTGGACTCTAGGATGACCATAGTGATGATAGCGTTGATGTGTTTCAGGACTATGGGCTGGATGTGAAGGCGTTCGGTGAGCTGGTTTCTGACTGCCCACAGCGCCTCCTGGAGTTAGCAGCCAGCTGCTGCATGGTATGTAGATGGAAGAAACTCTCCATACAGAACAGAGAGAAAGAAAAGAGTCAGGTGGTCATTTCTCTGCTCCAGATTGGAACTTGAATTAAAAGATTCAATTTGGGGTCACCATGGACAGGTCTCTCGCCATGGGACCTGTCATAAAATGACAAAAAACATTAACATTTTGCATTTAAGATAAAGAAAAACTTTATCTTGTAAATATGTTCTACCCGAAGAACATTTGCATCTCTTACTGATGATGTATAAAAAGGTTTAATGGTTTAATGAAATGTCTGCAGAATGTGCCAGCTTTTGAAACTTGATCATTCAATTAATCGTCAGAATAATCAATTTCAGTAATATTCTGATTTAATGAATGGTGCTTCGGTATCTGTGTGAAATAATACATTTTGTATTTTTATGGGCTGACTATAAGATAAATGAAATGTAGAATGTGATGCAGAATCGTTTGAACATATCATGGATTTGATGAACGATCTGGGTTCAAACTGGCACAGTGTCAGATTACATCTGAACGGACTGCGGCCTCATGCAGCTTCTTGTCTCTGCTGCTGTCAGGTGGAGTCGTTCCGGCGCCCGGCCTTCACAGAGCTACTAGATGAGCTGAGCGAAGCTGCTGAGGGCCTGGAGCCGCCACCGAACCCCGACCTGACGGCCCGCTGAGCAGGGTGTGTCCAGCAGCAGGGATTATTGATCACAGAGCAGACAGGAAGCAGAAGTGAAGGGGAGTTGAAAGAAGGCGGGCCTGATTGTTGATGCTTCCTGCTTTCTCACTCGGCACCAGAGGCTCAACTTGTCTTTTCTGAGAGCTGTTAGCCAAACCACGGCTTCCCTCAACACTTTGCTAAAGTCGCCTCCAGGTGATCAGTGTTACTCTTTGAGGTAGATCCAGTTTCATTTCCTGACTCAGAGGTTTCCTCCTCCTCCTCTTCATTCGCTTGTCCCTGCCAATCGTTTGGAATGAACGACGCAGATCGTCTGATCTGCTGATAGGTTTTGGTCTTTGCGTCTGCTTTAGTTGTTCTGTTTTCTGTCAGGACTTCTGCTTCGTTCAGCGACAGACTCCAAACGGCTGCAGACAGCAGACTGACTGTTGTGTTCAAGGTTTTTGAGAGCTTGTCTCAGTTTTACAGAAAATATCCTTTGTTTCTATACATGTACAGAAAAACAACAGGCGACAAAGTGTACAGACCCCTGTTAGAGTGAAAAGAAATAATTAGACGAGCAAATCATTCCAAAACCTTTTCAGCCTTTAATGTGACAGTTCTAAATTATAATTTTACTGAAAAAAAACACGTCAATAATAAATCTGTTTACTTGCTATTGATGCAAAGCAAAGTAAATCCACGTCTCACATCAATAATATTGATATTTTTACCGATATGGATACTTTTTATTATGTAGGTTTGATATATCACCAAACTTTTGACCTTATGTTGTTTTTATGTTTCTTTTGAACTATTTTGTATAAACATAGGACAGAATTTTTACAGGTTTATAAGTGTCTAACATTCAAATAATATATTAACATGATAAACAGAAACAATAGAATAGTAGTGTGTATTTTTTTATAAAAAACAAAGTGCAAAAATGATCAAAGCAAAATCTTTTGCTGTAGACAAACTGCAGCCCCAAAATGAAATAAAGTTTGAAGAGAAAATCTGAAATGTATCGATCCAGAACTGATACCAATTTGGAATTGATATTATTGATACTTTGGATGGATCTCGTCACCTCAAGTGTTCACAATATTAAAATAATAGTTTGCTGACGCAGCATTTAGCCTTCTTTGGTAGAAGCTTGCAGGGATTTTACATATTACTTTTCAACAAAGTAACAGCGAAACAGGCTGGAGATTAAATCAGTTTTCAGACTGAGGATATGATCCACAGCCCTCTTCAGGTGACCCAACAAGCTTTCTGTCACAATTAGCTGTGCTCTCTGATGCCAAGTTTTAAGTTTTTCTCTTATGATGTCATTTTTATGTTTATTTGAACGTCTGCTTGAACCCTGTGTGATGCTGAAAAAGTCTAATCAATTTTCATCTTCAGCTTCTTGGTAAGCGCCTGAAGGTGTTGCATAAAAACTGAATGATATTTAAAACTGTTCATGAACTCATCCACATTCACAAAAATATGGACCCCTCCCACCACCACGCTTCACTGGTGTTCCTCTGAAGATGGGAAATTTACCAGATTTGTTGGTTCCTGTACAGGAAGAAAATCATATTAAAGACATAAAAGGTTAATTGTCTAATTTTGAATCCTCTAACAGGGATGTGTAAACATTTTACAGCTTGATTGGAGACAACTGTCATGGTGATGCATAAATAGATTTTTAAATCACAAATCCTTTGACTCCAGTATACCCAGACTGTCTGTATCCTGTTGCTTTTATATATTTCTCTGATCTTTTTAAACATGCTTGTATGTTTTTTTAAAAAAAACCTGAGCTTTCTGTATGTTTTTGTTCTTCTGGTTCTGTAACGGTCCAGTTTGTTTTTTTATGTTATCAGAATTTCAAGGCAGCTAAAATGCAACAGACAGATAGCTTCATTACTTCTAACATCAGCCACACTTTTGTGATGGAACAAATAAAGTGATATTCTTTGTCTATTGTTTTTTTTTTAAAACATGATCACATTAAGCCTGTTGAGCTGTTGAGCCATCACAGGACGGATGGTAGAGTTCCCAGTCAAATAGAACATAGATGTCAGGAACATCTGCTAAATCTAGTTGAGCACCAAAATATGTCAGGAATATGTAAAGCATTTATTTTATATCGATTTTTTTCACAAAACCCCTTCTGCTGTTATACCATTACATGCCACTGGATGGCAGTCTTTTCATTACTGGCTGCCTGAACCAACTGCTCTAAAAATAAGAAACTGTCCGATGAGTAGAAATCAGACATAAAACTTGAACTGACTTTCTTTGCATTATGTTTGACATGATCAGTGAGAATGAAATGATGGACATACGATGGAACATGTGAGACCAGAATATGGAAAAAAAGACCAAATAAATAAAAAAAGATTTGTTCTGTTAAAGATGCTAAACACGTGTGTTGTGACAGATTTGGTTTGGCTATGAGAAAACTATAAATAAATGCAAAGGCAATGATTAAAAAAATTACATACGCAGATGAAAGTGACTAAGGTAGCCAGTTCAATATCAATCTCAGATATTTCTCAGGAAAACCTGAGATTGCACATGTACTGTAGAACTATCGATAAGCATGTTTCTACATACACACAAATGATATATATGTATATATATTTTTATCTGCATTTATCTGAGAAGTAGCTCATATGAGCCCAGCAGCTGTGTTTGCTAATTGCTTCTGGCTAGTCTGAAGGAGCTGAGTGGGGGCGTTTCGGGTGATTGCTGCTCATTGAGGCCAAAACTCTGATGCCTGGATTCTGCAGCTCTGAGGAGGAGGAGCTTCATCATTTGCACAGCTGAATGGTTGCCATGGAGATGAAATGACTTAATTAAGGCAACACTCATTTCCAGGTATGTTCTTGAGGAGGATCATTATAACATGATGCAAAGCTCAAAAACATATATTTACATCATACTGCAGCTTCAACTTCTCTGATTTCTTCATCAGACTGAAGCAGAAGATTTGCTGGAGGACATGACAAAACATCTTCCATGATCTAAGAAACATGGCTGCTTTCATGTTGGGCTACTGGAGCTCTTAACACTTATGAGAGAGCCAGACTTCATTATTTTTCTTTGAAGCATGACTTGTCTGCATAATCAGCATGAAAACATAATGCAAATGTTTTCGATTATGAAACAGAACAAAGACCCTCTTCTGAATCTATATAAAAACACCCGGTTGATAAATAGACTCAGGTCTAACAAACAGGAGTCGGCCCCTAATGCTCAGCTGTTACAGAGAGATCATTAATGATTTCGATGCTCTTTCAGGGCCATGACAACACTCTGCACCTCCCACCTCTCCCTGCAACATCAGAGTCTAAAGAGTGAGATTGATGAGGATGGATTATCTAAACGCTGATCTGTGTGTCTGTTTCCTCTGATTTACACGATGACTGTGATCACAAAGGACAGGGAGGAGGAGCGGTTGCATTTCAATAAAAGCTCAGGTTGATCTTTCACAAGTTAATCATACTGACTCATGATCAGCAATCAAAATGGTGTTTTATTTTAAAAGAGTACCTTTCATTAAATGTCATAATGGAAGGAATCTAATGTGATGACTGCAATAAATGATGATAGATCAACAGTTTGGGCACACAATGAATTGATTTATGTCATTTCACCTTAAAAGCCTGAAAGTGAAGCGGAGAGCATCCGGTCCTGATCCACATCACTGACATGCGTATATCTAATTATGAGTTTGTAAGTGGAGACAAATCGGACTTACCAGAATTTGGCTGCTGTAAGTCTTGCTGCTCTTTAGAGTCTGAATGTGATTTTTTATGAGTCTTCCTGCTGCTCTGGGATATCAACAGTGCAGTAATCACTGCAGAGCAGACACAATGTCTTCCTGCTTAATGTTGTGTGTAAAACGGAGGTAATAACAGGAGGGGGAGATGAGACCGGGGATGAGGAGGAACTGAAACTACTCCTCACTCAGTCTCATGGGAGAATGAACAAACTATCAGTAAAACAAGATGGATAAATGCCAACATGTTTCAGCATGACTCAGAAAGAGTCTGAGGAAGAGAAGTTATGCAGAATCCATCAGGTTACAGGGAGGAATCTGATCAGGTTACAGGGAGGAATCTGATTAGCGCAGAAAATCCACAAATGAGGTGACAATAACTCATAACGTAGCTTGGTGTGCACACTGCTGGATGCTGAGCATTTGTACGGCAGAGGTTTTGACCACATCCAAGTAGGGCTTTAACTAGGACGTAAATTTGGGTTTGGTAAGCCCATCCCAATGACCTGCAGCTTCTTGTCGGATTTATTGTCTCTGCATCCAGCTGCAACCAGATGTTTACATACACTGGATGATAAACATATAACAGTTCCTCTGTTATATTCCTCTGGCACAAAATCGAATTCAACTTTTCCTGTTCTCAGTCAGTCAAAATATCCTCAGTCATTTTTCTATATGACTGAGGATATTTACATACATTCCTTAGTATCTGATCGATTGTTCTATAAAGCTGTGCGTCTTGGATCAGAGGTTTTGGGCATCATTCCATAAACCCAGGTTTTGATGTCACAAAAGGAAGCAGTGTGTTTAAATGTGGCCTTAAAATACACCACCTGGTCTGCCTGCAATTCACTCTGCTGTTGTTGCAAAGCAAGTCAGTCTCTGCTCTCCTTATGCATTGTTATGAGCAGGCACCTATTGTTCTTCACCTCAAAATAACTGCCACTTCCTGCTACCGATGATGCGGCCTGTACCCCTGCGTGCCCCCTCAGGATATATTTATCAAAACGTGCTGTCACAAACGTGTGGTGACTTAATTAACAAAAAACGAGCCAAATTCAAGTCAAAACAAAAGTCTAACGGACACAAAACAGAGTCAGTTTCACTCAAAATAGACAGAATTTTGTCTCCCTTTGAGCTGCTCTTTAGAACTACAGTGATGGCAGAATGTCAGAACTACAAACATGGTGGAACAACTGCTATAAACTCATCTCTGAATAGTGCTGGTTGTTATGTCTTGTATGTATATCATCTAGAGGTGGGAAAAGCAACAAAAAAATCTAGTATGCTTCAGATGGAATACATGCACACATATCCATGACATACTTTGACTAAATGAATAAATGTAATTCCAGTACTGAAAAATTAACTTTTTATAGGTGAGTCTCTCTAACCTGAGAATGTGAACCTGCACTGGGCTGATTCTGTCCCTTCAAATAATTTTAACAATGCTCCTGTAGAAGATTCATAACATAACTTAACACATTGTTACATACAGGGGTAGTGTGGCAATTTTAAATTAAGCTTAATTTAAATTACAAAATAAAAGACTTGAACATCTTTACATTAGGTAATTGCTCTCTTGGACAATATGTGACTTTTTAAACAATAAAATAAAACCACTGTTACACTTTGGATTAGTTTGGCATTTTAAGCTTCCTTTAATTTTTTATTAAAATTAAGCTAAATAAAAATTTTATTTTTTTTACACAATGCTATTGCTGTTTTGGGCATTTTGTAATTGATTTAACCCAATCAGTGTTACTCATGGCTTTAGTTTGGACATTTAAAATGAAGCTTACTGAAAATTTCAAAATAAAAGCCTTGATATCCCTCTCTGGATAGTGCACCACCATTTTTCTCTCAGTGTAGGACACTGTCTTGCTCAGCTGATGAGAAGTTTTAAGGGACAGAAGAAATGACTCATATGCATTTAATTAGGACTTATTTAACTTTGCAACATGAGGCGACTCCATGTTTTAAGAAACAGTTGGCAGCCAGGGCTGTGGGTGAGCATCGGTGAGTCGTCCCAATACAGGCTGCTGATTAGTGCAGCTTGTACACACACGCAAATATACATATATATATATATATATATATATATATATATATATATATATGTGTGTGTGTGTGTGTGTGTGTGTGTGTGTGTGTTTGATTTTCTATTTTTTTTTCAAATGATCAACTCTGACAGTAGATTAGAAGTAGACAGTAGTAGCCTTTAACAGAAGGAATATCTTCCAGAACAACAAACAGATAGAGGAGTGGAGGTGGTGGGATGGGGAGAGTAAAGAAGAAGGGAGAAGAAGAGGAAAGAATGAAACATAATGTATTATGAATCATGTCTTTAAATGGTCAATATGAATTCATTTCCCACTAGTAACAGGACACCACGAGGCAAAGCTGTCAGCTGGCCTGGCTGCTGCCAGCATTGTTCTGTTTATAACAACATGTAGTAGTCAATGTGCAAATATTAGTGTGCAGGAATATCTCTGCCTGTGTGTGCAGGTGGTCCCAGAAACAGTCTACCTCCAACCTTCTCCTTCTGATATTCCTCGGGGCCAAACGGACACCGTTCCTCCCAGCTGTCACTGTAATTGATCCAGTTTTGTCCTTTTCCTGCTGCTGACAACAAGATAAGCTGTGTTCATCATTGATTGAGGCTCAGCACATTGATAACCTGCAGGAACAGCAACATGAGCTGCAGCTGCTGTGCAGGAACAGCAACATGAGCTGCAGCTGCTGTGTTTGAAAAAGGTTCCTGAAGATGAGCCAATGCAGTGATCGGTGGAAATGTTTAAAGTCTCACTGGACACGACTCAACCACTCACACGACTGAAACAGATGAACTACTGCACTTTCATTCTGAGCACAAAAAAGCTTTTCATAATAAATATTTCTTACAGAATACCATAAATACAGTTTCCTTCAGTAATAACTGGGTCTTATGCCGGCGCCATCTTGTCATGTAATCAGGGTAAGTCAAACCTTAAACAACTACCCTGAGTCCAGAGATGTGGAGGTGTGAGGATTTCAGTGAAGATGTGAGCAATTCATCTGTGGCTTTGGAGAAAGAGCTGCTTCTACTGGAAGACTACAACTGTATTTTTCTGAGCCATATGGAGTCATCAAATGACTCCAACGTTTCTGGGGAGGAGGCGCCCGAGAGTGAGGGGCTGGAGATGGACGTCT